GCCGGCAGGCAAGGGCACACCCCACCAGGGGGCCGCGCGATAGGGGCCCTTGGTATCGGGGGGCTGGGCGCTTGGGCGTGTGTCGGCTCGGCCTGGTGTCTGCCTGGTGGGGCTCGGGTCCTCTGGCCCTGTCGGGCCTTGGCCTGGGTGGTGTGAGTCCTCGGTGCCCGGGCCTCGGTGCCTGGACCTGGACCTACATCGGTGCGGCGGGTGCCGACGGAGGCCTATGAGTTTGTCGCTGTTGGCCCCGGGGGGTCACTGTATGTGGTTGCTGGTGGGGATCTTCCGGTTCTCCCCTGTGGTCCGTTCTGGGGGGTGGGTGAGTGGTTCGCCCTGTGTGGGTGGCTCTGGGGGCTCCGCGGTCGGGGTCCCTCCTGGGGTCTTGGGCTCTGGTCCCCCCTTTTTCGTCTGCCTCTGGTCTTGGGGGTCGGGTCTCTGCTGCTTCACAATTACTAATAAATGTTCTATTAGAGAAGCCTTATACACTTATGCATGCTCACAATCACACACAAATAGAAGCAGGGATGTTTATGTAGGCTTTATATGTAGATATATAGATATGTATGTGAGTGTATATTCATGTGTATGTATGTATGTATGTATGTATATAGGCGTAGGTATGGGTATATATATTTATTGAAACTTACTGCAAAGCCATGAATATTTTAAGTTCTTTATACATATGTATTTTGTTGCTGTGTTTTGTCATGTTCTTTGCAGGTGAACAGACAGTGGCCGGGTGTTTTGAAGTGTGCTCTATTTGTATATATTTCTTATATTTTGGAGTCTTACTTTGTCTTTTCTTTCTTTCTATCCTATTGAATAAAAAAAAAAAAAAAAAAAAAAAAAACCCCAACCCTAAAATGTACAAAAAAAAAATTTTTCAAAAAAATGGTGTGGAGAGGATGGCTGTAAGGGGAGAAGGGAGGCCATCACAAAAAAAAAAAAAAAAAAAAAAAAAAAAAAAGAGATAGCGTGAGAAGCTCGGTCATCCGGGAAGGACTCAGTGTAGAGCCGCTGCTTCTCCACATTGAGAGGAGCCAGTTGAGGTGGATCGGGCATCTGGTTAGGATGCCTCCTGTATGCCTCCCTGGTGATGTGTTCCAGGCACGTCCCACCGGGAGGAGGCCAAGAGGAAGACCCAGGACATGCTGGAGGGACTATGTTTCTCAGCTGGCCTGAGAACGCCTCGGGATTCCCCCCGGAGGAGCTGGCCCAAGTGGCTGGGGAGAGGGAAGTCTGGGCCTCCCTACTTAGGCTGACTACCCCGCAACCCAACCCCAGATAAGCGGAAGAAAATGGATGGATGGATGGATAAATGTTAGCTAACGATGGGGAAAGAAATAAGTCTCAGCTGTTCTTTTTATCTAATGTGCTTCATCTGTTTATTAATGGTTTAATAAGCCTATACAGGTCAAAAACTGCATTATTGACTAATAATTAGTTATTTATATTAGTACCCTTATGTTGTAGTGGTACCAAAAGTCTACTTTGACTTTGATGTTTGGCTAATTAAAATACGACTGTTGTTCTATATGTGGAAGAGTTCACATGTGATCAACTGTGAATGCCTAGATGGGTTTTCCTTTAAGGTCATGCCAGATTGTCCCACTGAGACCAAATATGGTCTGACTCATGTGGTGCAAATGAGGCCTTTGAAACACTCTGACTATTCAGTTTTATCTCGCTATCTCATTTTCACATCTCATGCAGGGCATTCAACACATCCTTGCTAGATGAGACTAATGCTCTTTTTTGGACTGTGGCCTTTCAAAATCCGGGATGCAAAAAGAAGAAACAATGTCCAATTATGTGCAACTTATTTCCACCAGTCGGAATAATAAGCATGCAGGAATGATAGGGTGATAAGACACTTTGCAATATCAAGGGTTTCTTTCACTTCCTGTGGGCAGCTGTTTAACGGACTGTTCATCACACAAAAGGTCACATTTGTGAACCATTTACAACCACAATCTTTCCCTACAAAGTAAGACATGAATGAGACATGATATGTTTGTTAATTGGCTTTTACTTCATTTAGGATAACAAAAGTGACTGAAAAAAAAGGGAGTACATGAATGAAAACACAAAATCTACTTTTGTATCAGTGATGAACAATATCATCCATTAAACCGATAGCTGAATAAAATGTCTTTACAAACAGCAAACTGAATGCCTGGCCTTAAAATCTGAACCATTAGTTTAGAAAATCTTTCAGAAGTGTCATTACCACTGAGCAGTAAGAAAATATGGTAAAATGTTTGTTTATTAAAAAATGTAATTAAATAGGTTTGCTAATCATTTAATAATAATAAAATATAGATTAAGGACAAACAGTTATATCTTTATGTAAACATTTAAAATCTTTTCAAGTACAGTTCTGGGGAAAGATTAGCAATAAAAAATATCTTACCTGTTGCAGATATATTTTTGAACAACTTCAGTTTGGGGAAATCAAGTTTCATCCTGGCTGGACTGATGAGCTAATGGCTAGTTTGAGGGAGGCCAAGACTAAAGTGAATTTCTGCTGTCTTGAAACAACCCAAACTAGCACGTTTCAAAATACGTGAGCAACATTTTTTATTTCAAAGTATTCCCTGATTTGTCCCAGATGTCTCAAACCTATGTAAATTTTGTCGGCTCCAACTCGAGTCATGAGCCCTAGAGTTGTGCTTGGACACCTGCTTGTGAGCTCTCTTCTAACAGATACATTTTATAGCCAGTTTGTTCAATAACTTGTCCAAATCTGTCTGTTTTCATTTCTAAAGTGTACTTCAGTATAGTATATTATAAGATTGGGCCAGTGGCCAAGGTGGGTATAAAACAGCTAGAGGAGCAGTGCTGTAGTTTACTTGATATGCGAGTATATGGCGTATAACCACAAAAAATGCTTGGGAATTTCAGTATAACCAATTAAAAGTGTCCAACGATACGTAATGTTCCCTCTATGCTGCGCAGTTAGGGCAAATGCCCAAGCATAATATCTAGTTATCTCCTGCTTTAAAATAAACTTTTATAATGAACTGTCAGCCCGAGCGCAGCGGTCTCTACAATCTGTCTGTATGCAGCGCATGAATGTGTGCAGACTAGAAGAAGAGACACCCCCCCCAATTTTTGTAGCGACAACGGAAGTTTACAAAGAGGTGAAAACATTCAACCAATGAAATCACAGGTGAACTTTCATTCCAGCCAATCAGAGCCTTCTGGAGTTTCGGCATTGACGTGCGAACAAGCTAAGTAGCTACAAGCAACCTCCTTTGCTTCTAGTGTTTTCCAAACTTTGTACTGCGTATTTCATCAGATACCAAGGAATAATATTTTGGCGTTGTAGATTTATCACTGAAGTTTACGTACGACATCAAACAAAGGGGGTAAGTAAGCTAATCCCACGACTTGTAGCCATTTATATCATGCTAACTGTTAGCAAACAGTGGTGCTCGGTGTATATCTGGATGGGACTAAACTGATTTTGTACAAAGTGTTTAATAGTTCAAGTTGTGTTTATTTGTCATATGCAAGGTTAACAGTTCAATGAAAGGCTCAGGATGAGAAGAACCAATTTGACTCGCTAAAAACAAACAAAGAACAAACAGTAAATACTAAGCATGCAATAAAGGTACAAAAATAAAGTACCAAAAAGTGAAAAAGTAATTATAATATTTACAAGGTCCTAAAAAGAAAATAGTAAACAAGAACATGGTAGAATTTTAACGGTGCAAGCAGGATGAATTTGTATGAATAAGTATTTAGCACAGTATACCCACTACAAAAATGTAGAGTATGCCACTGTCGAGGAGGATTTGATGTGGACAGAGGTCGGCAACAAAATAATATGCACAGCCTAGAATACAGATTTGCAAACTGTACACATAAATATGGGCTGTTACATTCATAAATTAGTATTTGCAAGACTCTTTGATTGCTTTGTTGCAAATACTCAGAATTTGGAGACATGCACTTTAAAATGTACCCACTTTCTTGCAATTTTTATGGAAGGTTGCCAATAGTCTCCAACAATCACATCACAGTGAGATAGCACCTTTATATAAAATTCTAGGGTGATTTGCCAGTGCAAACAGTTGCAACAACTAGCTGCTGCACTTCA